AATCGACTTGAAAATATCCCTAAGTATAGTATGAGGCGTATACGTTTGTACGTATACTTTTCGCATTTTAATGATCAGATGATAGAAATCATTTATTCAGATTTTTTTCCAATAATTTATTGATTAAATTAAAGAAATAATTTTTAAGATTAGAAATATTTCTATAATGATATGATTACAATATTTCTGTACGGGATTTTATGAACTTTTTTCGTAGAACTCCTTTACAAATCAGTATTCGCAAATTCAGTTTGCCAAAAGATATTTAATAGTATAATCTTAGACACTAATTTTAATATTTAATAATTTTAATAATTTAAAATAATTTAATAGTTAATTAAATTCGTAGTTTGCATTGAAAAACAATGTAGAAATGAGAATGTATACATCTTGTGTTAAGTACTTAGACACATATCGATAAGAAATTTTTAATCAACGGAATGTAAATGTATCGAGAGATACCAAACTGTTGATTAGATCGATAAAATTTTAACAATAATTGTAGACTGCGAACCCTACGACGTTTTACATTTCCAATTTGCAATTAGCATGGACGATATTCAAAATGGGAAATGACATTGTGTGAAGATTAACGATGCGAGACGCAATCCAGAGAACTCTACTTGTGAAATATAAACGATGATACGCATGATTTAGCGTATCTACTAGGATTTTTGTGATTGTATATTCGGTATGGAGAATTAAAGGCGTCTGAAATTTCGTTAATTCTAAACGATATATGAAAAACTTGTTGGTGCCAGGATAAAATGTTATTCGGAGTACATGCCTAAAAATATTTAATTCTATGCGTGTTCCTTATGAAAGTCTTAATATATTGTCCAGTGTAAACAGAAAATCCGGAACAATTATACTTCCTGCCTGACTAATGATAGATCACATCAGTATTATGCGTTGCGATCAGAGAAATACCAAAGTGTTTTTGGAATAGTAAATGGATGTGTGATCACAATTAATGTGCTTTCATGTATATTAAATGTTTTCCCTCTTCCAAATGTAATATTCGCTGACATCGTGATATTATCTGATGCAGAGTAATGAAACAAATATAAGATTTATTAAATATTCCATATCTATATATGCATAGACCTTGTCGTTGTAATTAAATATAAGACATATGGAAGCAAGAAAAAAGTAAGTAAGGAAATTGCGACTGTCGAAGAAAAGAAGAAAAGAATTTAAATATTCCAACTTTATGGTATAATTTTTTACCAAATGCCTAGAGTGTGAAAAATCATATTACTGGCAACCATTCACGTTAATCAAAGTAAAATTAATAAAGTAAATATTAATTTAAATTTTTAAATATATAAAAAAGCTACATCTATTATTTATCAATTTTTAAGAATAGAATTCTTATACAAATTCAATTGTTATATAATGGAAAACAATTATAATCCATTAATAAAAAAAACAATTTAGGAAATTCGTTTTTCATCTAGGCTACGTTTATTTTTATTAATAGAGTAGACAAAGATAGTTACAAAGATGATCGATCATAGAAATTTAAATAATCAGTTCCAATAAAATATACTTTTTAAGTACAGTACAAATTTAGCAAAAAAGCAAATTAATTTGTATAAATAATCAGTTTTTAGAATATAATTATTAATATATTTCCCAAGCTTTCAATATATTAATTAAGCAAATGTTTCTTAAATTGCAGTCCACTTTTAGCAATCTATAATTTGCAACGGAATTCTGTTTATAATTTAAAATTTTATACACATCTTACAATACATTGAACTTTTAAAAAATTATAATATACATATATAGAAAATACATATTCAAATACACGCACACACACACACACACGCACACACACGCACACGCACGCACGCACGCACGCACGCACGCACGCACTAAAATGTATAGCAATTAAAATTAAAATATAATATTCTATCTTCGTTCTAATACAAGTTATAATGTTGTCTATAATCGTGGGCTTACAAAAATATGTTTTTTAGTGAATGTGTAACTAAAATGCTTACATATAGCATTAGATATTTTTAATCTTATTTATCTAGTAGGATTGGCAAAGTAGTAGATTTCATTATCTTTAATGTAAATTAGAATCATGTATACAGTCATGTCCAGAAATGTGTTTCACATACATGAAAAAAAAAATTAAAATTTCTGTAAATTTTAATCTTTATAAAAGGAATAATCTCATTTAAAAAACTACATTTAAATAAAATGTCTGCCTTTTTCAAAGCTTTTCAAGAAGGTATCCTTTTCTAAATTTGAGATTATTTTGGATCTATAAAAAATCTTACTTTTATTTACAACTTTCTTTTGTTCAAAATAATCTTAGAAATAATCATTTAAAATAAAATATTTCTTTAGGTATACATATAAATGCATGCATACTCATGTGAATAATATTATTCTTTGATTGTTTAAATCCAAATTTTAAGGCAATAACACAATTTAATAAACGTAATAAATGTATAAGAAAGTATTTCATTGATGAAAACGCTTTAATGAACAAGCTTTAATAAACAATTAGTGAAGCAGTTGATACTCAAAAATTATAATAATATTTTCAGATATATACTTTATAGCAGACCTTGTCTTTTGAGATCTTCGTATGTTTTACGATTGACTACATTGCCAAGCGAATCTTCAAATTCTTCTTCCTGCTCTGGTTGCCAACGCTCGGCTTGTTTCTGCGCTTTCAGTTTTTCCCACAAAGCAAGAGCGTCTTCAATCTGAGTAACATTAGCAAAGTGCGCTGTATTCGGAATGCCAAGACAACGCATGCCATGTGCATGTCTCCATTCCGCAAAATGTCTTTGGAATGCTTTCGGACCTTTATACGTAAAGTTTCCACAAATCTCACAGTTGTAACTGATATTTAAGCCGTGCAGCTTGTACAACCAGTAAGGTATAGGCTTTCCGTCCCAACCTAATGGTAAATTCTTTGGATTGTATGGAACCTCGTTGTCGTCTTCTTCTTCCGATTCGCTTGCACTTGCTTCTGCATCAGAATCTCCTCTTTCACCCTCGGTTCTCGCTTGTTTCCTTTGTACATTTTCTTTCGTAGCCACTCGTTGACTGGATACTAATTCAGCGAGTTTATATACATGAGCCTCGAACCGTGCAATTTCCTTTTGCTTCTCGGAATCTTTGCCTTTAGCTGATTTTCCCTTTCTATTCTTGGCTAATAGATTGGGATCTAAGGAGGCTTCACCTTTTGTGCTGAAAAGTCTTTGCGCCCGTTCCTCCAGAGTACCTCCACATTTGAGTCCTAGCGCCATCAAAGCTGATTTTAATCTATCCAAACCAAGAGACGCTAATTCTTCCCAAGATGAAAATGCAGACAGTTCCAAATGTGCTCCAACATGAGCCAGAGCACTTCCAGTTTCTTTAGGCCAACCAGGAAAAGTATTCTTCTCCCACTGAATTTGAAAATCTTTATTAGCTTCTTCAATTTCTGTACTTATGTCGAGCAGAGGTCTGACTCTGTTCAGATAATCTGTCAGATATCCTAAGAGGGAATCAGCATATCTCTGATACTCTGCATTCTTTCTTTCTCTAGGAATATCGAATAAGTGATCAAAAGTTGACAAATAAGTTATATAATCTATCTTTTCTATCCCTTTAAGATTAATATATTTTTGATAACACTCGTGAAGATCGAGGTATTTTCCATAACCCTCTTCATCTGTAAATTCGACAAGATTGGATAATTCTTCAGTTGGGTTTTCTCTCATCTTAGCTAACTCCTCGAATTCAACGGACATAGGAACACTGATCTCATTAGGATGTCGTCGATAAAATTCTTTTATCGACTTCAAACGTGAATAAAATTCTGAGAATTCATTTGGACCGGAGAGTGCTTGAACCTAAAATGATAAACGAGGAACTAGAACTTATTTTTGAACTCATGAATCGACAATCGTTAGATAGGTTAGAAATCATTTAAAATTAAAGATTTTAATTTTTTCATCTATATATATAAACTGTAATATTTAAAATCTTAAATCAACGTACCTCTTCTTTTCTTTGTCCATCCTTATCTTCATACAAGTCTTGCAAATGTATTGTACTATCCATAAACTGATCCAGCAACATCTTCAAACGATGCTCCGAATTGATGTTCTCGCGATGTCCTGCCTTTTTATGCAACATCTCTTTCACCATCGCGTCCATCAACCGCTCTCTTTCTTCATGATATCGTCGTTGTTGCTCCAATATTGTTTCCATTTCTATTTTTAAATTCAATTTACTTTGACTTAAAACATTCACAAGAGCACGATAAAATCAAGCCGGATTCTTTCAACAGTAGTGCGACTCGAATAGAACATCCATGTTGAAAGTGTTTCGTTGATGATAGCGACATCTGATCAGATTTTCAAAATATGAATTATATGATGTTACTTACTGGGCAATACAGATTCTTATGTGTATGAATTTATTATATCAATATTATTAAAATACATCCATATAAATTTTATTACACATATAAAAGAAAAACACAATTAAGAAATATATTAAACAAAGAATTTTTTAAGACCGTAAATGTGAATATACAATGTGTATTAGAACGGGAAAATATGTTATATATATATATGGACATATTTTATCATATAATTATGTATAATTTTATATAAAATATGTCAATTTTTTACATAACTATATATATAATTTTATATATATTTTTATATAATTATATATAATTATATATAAATGAAACATTTTTTTTCGGGAAATATATCTATATCGGGAAATATATATATATCGGTTCCTCTTTTTTAAAGTAAAAAAAAAAAGAAAATGATTAGTATACTAGTTGTAATGTAATTTGCTTCTTTCTGATCACTTTCTTTTTAAATTTACAAAAGAAAGTTCTACAAAAAATAGAGGAATATGATATATGTATGTGTGGAATACGTGATATAAATAAATATTTTTTAATTAAATAGAAAAGTAATAATACTTTTTTTATTTTATTAAAATAATAAAGAAATGTAGTAGAAATGTATTCGTTTTTTATAAAAGGTACAGAAGTATAGTTAATGTTTAGCAGTGCATTTAAAAGTATGTGTGGCGTAATGTATTACGTAAATATTATAAATATTGGATTTAACAATGCAGAGAAATTTAGTGTACGTGACTGGAAAGAATGTGGTAAAGTGCGACTAGGATTATAAAGATTAAATTAGCAGTGGCTAAAGAACCATTCGAGCACTCTTCGATGTTATCAAGAAGTTCTTTATAGGCAACCACTGACTCCTTCATCGACGATGTGGAAATCAAGCCGGCCGAGGAATCTTTGAAGAGAAGATCTCTTGTGCCGTTGAATGGTCCGTAAATATGAATTGATCTTCTAGCATTTACACGATATCCTAGCCAGTCTTCCAACTTTAGTAAAGCTAAAATAGTATCCGTTCTAGAGATTTCCTTATCATCTTTCTTAAGGCCAACAACCTGAGAACATTATAGTTTATTCAATTTGTGCAAAGAAATATCGTTAATGCATACACTATATAATCTTTTTAATATTATTTCAAACTAATATCATCTCAAATTAATATTATTTTTGTATTAATATATCAATATATTTTTTAAATTAATTTCATATCGCTATATCTTTTATATTTAATTAATGATAAAATTGTACATAATTACTGAATCAATAATAATAAGAGTTTTTAACAGAGATATTTGATTTCTCCATTTCTTCATTAAAAATGTTAATTAAATAATATAAACTATATAAAAAGTTACATAATATTCTTTTATTAGATGTATTTAAATATTATATATAAATGAGATCTTCAAAAAAATTATTTACCTCGCTATCAATTGTCACCGATAATGCACACTGACGGTACTTGTTCGGTTCGGCTGTATAATAATAATTTAATAATTATTAACTACTAAATAAAAAATATTAAGAATAATGCATAGCGTCGTTCAAATTTAGTAAAAATATTTTCTATAATTATGAATAAAAAGCTACAAAAATAAATATTACAAAATAAATTTGAAGAAAACTATTTGCATTAATATTTGAAAAATTGATGTATTAAAAGCATTCTGTAAAATGATACTTGAAATTAAAAGAATTGATTATAAATTTTCTTAAGTTTCAATGTATAATAATACTTCTATAATAAATATATAAAATATATAAAATAAAAAAAAAAATATATATATATATATAATATTACTTTCTATACAATAAGTTTCTATAATAATACTTCTATATAATATTATATTGCTTTTTATTACTGATTATCAAATTTGTCGTCTCAATAAATGCTATGTCGCCGGCTTCATCAATTAGGCATTGTATGGCTCCTTTGTCACCGTAATAACGATTAGTTTCATCCATTGCACAGGACGAATTATTTTGATTTTTACAAGCCGAGCAAAGTTTAGATGATACGTTCGATGAGATGGCAGTGCTCGAGTGGTCGAAATCTTCTATTCCAGGGGTACAAGCACCCGAAAACAGTTCAGACATCATTAATGGATAGTCACAGGATTTAGATGAAATGATATTGTTTTGTCTCGCGACATTGATGAAACTCAACCAGCTAAGTCCGCCATATTCAGAGAAACATGCCTTTTTGCCATTTAAATCTTGGAAGTTTTTTATGGGATAATTATCCTCTTTAGGTTCACGCATCACAGCGAATGTCACACTATTCTTACCCTCTTCAGTTTCGCTGTATAGAAGCGTTGACAGATTATAAACTCTGCAAGCAAATTAAAGAACGTTTAGTAATGCCATAATTTCACGTATGTATATTTACCAAAATTTCGTCGATACTTTAAATTTTCTGCTTACTTTCGTGCCAGATAACCATAGTTGGAGTCAATGACGATTATATCTGTTCGATTTTCTTTTATATCGCGGAAACATTGAAATGTAGAATTTGACATGATACAAGAAATGCTCGGTGCCACACCGAGAGTTTTCGCTGTTTTCGCTACCCATTTGCACTTATTAGTCTCTAAATCGTTAATCGTGCACCAATTAATGGTCTTGCCACAGGTTTCAATATTTTCAATATCGATGTCTCTTCCCTTCAAGTACGTAGCTATAGTCGTTTTTACCAAACTTACACCCTTGCTATCCTCTTGTATAATTCGACTTAAACTCTTTTTCCATTCTAAATTCGGATTATCTAGCCAGTGCAATAATTTTTCTTTAAGATGGTATGCGACTTCTCTGAAAAAAGCGAATTATAATCAAGGTACATCTAGGCGGATTATTTCAAAAAGAGACCTTGAGTAATTTTTTTGAGTACATTTTCGAAAAATGTCAAAGAAAAGTTTTTTTCTCTTTTATCTTGACTACTATTCGCTTACTGTCTAGCTGCGACGACGCTCCACGGTTGTTGGAGCCACGCGCAAGGATATGAAGTGGATAAAGGAAGAATACTGCCATTTGGACATAAAAACTGATACGATTCATTTGTCTGGAACATACAAAAAATAATTGATATAATACCATTTAATAAATCAATATAAACAATTAATAACTGCTCTACATAATGCTTCTATGAATTGCGATTGTAACTGTTGTTTTAAATAAAAATGAAACACCCTACTTACTTTAAGATATTTCTGAACGTAGTGAAGTGCTGCATATGCCACTTTACCACGACCTTGACTTAGACACTCCAGAGCTCCGAAATGTCCGTGATGCTGCTTATTATTATAACTACAATCTGCCGTGTCGTCACAAAGAGCACATAATTCTGGATATTTCTTCTCTGAGAAATATTATATTATTATTAATTATATATCTTTTAGAAACAGTGTTTATTCTTGAACTTATGTAATCTTCAGAATAACTTTAAGTTTTCTTTTTTTTTTTTTAAGTAAAAGTTTATAACAGGTAATTTATAACAGGTAAATGCATGTAATACAAGAAAATAAGATTATTTTAACATAAAGAATTTTACTTACTTAGTTCTTGATCGATGGACTTATTAGGGGCCCATTCGCCTGGTCTACAAGCTTTTCCAAAGAAATTCTTGAGATTTATGATCTCGTTCTCAATAACGGTTACATTATCTTGGCACTGCAGAGGATTCACTGACAATGTGTTTTCAAAATACTTGAGAATATAATCATTCAGCCATTGAGATTGGCTAAAACCAGGATGGCAAAATCCATTATCTTTCAAACGTTCAAGACGTTCGAGAGGAGTTATCTGTATGAATGTTGGATCTGTGGGGATTACTGCTACCATTTGAAATTCAAACTCATCTGTGAAAATTAAATTATGTTTATATTTAGGTTTATTATCATACCGAAGAATTTAAGAATTTAAGAAAATATTGTGTTTATTTTAATATTTATTTTAAATTTAATATTAAATTTAATACTTGTTTAATACTCAATAACAAAATATCATTTTTGAAAACAATTGGAACTTAGTTGTTTTTAATTAATTTGGCTTTTAATTAATTTCAGAGGAGACTGTTGATGACTGTTGATGAATTCATAGTTTCAAGAAAGTTATACTCCAAAAGCATTAAGCAATACGTTTTAATTAATTTATTATTAGTATTTTGTGTTTGACTCTAAATTATTAATTTTTAACTTGATAAAACTTCGCGTATTAATCTCCAATAATTTCATGTTTATTACTAATTCTGATTTTTTATTCCGATTGTTTATTCTGATTTTTATTCATATAAATCAAATTCAGTATAAATTCTTTTTAAAGTTTTCTATTACCTAATAGTTTGGTCCTATGCTTTAGTTGAATAATAGGTTCGATCTCAGATGGATAGAATTGGTTTATCAATAACAATTCTTCTGCATTAAAAACACCGAAATCGGCGTTGCCTTCAGCTAAGCGAATAGCGCACTCGGAGCTGTCCGACACGGTTAAACACGACACTTCAGAATTTCCTCGATGCAAAGCGATGCACGAATTTTCGGATACCACATCAACGGGTGCGCAGAATTTGTCTGAAAAATTGTGAATCGATTGACAAATTTAATTATCAGATTTATTAATATTTTGACGCTCTAGAAACGTTTATTTATATATTAAATTCTATTATTATATATATTATATATTAAGTATATTATATATTAAGATATTAAAGGAGAAAAAGAAGAAAGAGGGAGAAATTTAATCAGGTATAAATATATAATTTAATTAAATAATTTATGAGGAATAATAAGAATGAAATAATTGTCGAAATACTCTTTATTTTCTAATTTTTTATTTTAAATACTGAATACATTTTTATCAATAATTTTATTAAGTTTATTTCAAGCTTTCTTTAATCGAGATAATTCGTAGAGTGTTATCATTTTCTCGGTATTTGATTTTATATGTGTGCACTGCATCAAAGTCTAATTTTGTCCGTTTATGTATCAGGAGTCAAAACTTAATAATATTTTCGAGAAGATTTATATGATATAAAAAGATGACAGGATAATAATATATTTATAATATAAAATAATATCTGTAACATATTTTACATCAATAAGATGTTACGTCAATTACAATCAAATAATTTGATCATTCTCAAGATATCCGTTTATTTGATCCTTGATAATAATGCAAAAAATAAGCGTTATCATAAATTGCTGATTCAAATTTCTCAAAAGTAAAGTTGAATGTTCATACATTTCAATTGGACGAAAATATATCCGTTAATAATATAAATTTTATCATCTTTTTAATATAAAGATTGAAAAATTCTTCTTTAGAATTACGTTTAGAAATTTTACCCAGATCATGTTTAACATTCAGTGAGCGATAAAGACAAAATAAACTTGTACAGATGAACTTCAGAATCACTGTTTGTTTTTAAAATTTGTATTTAAATTATTATAAATAATTATGATAAATGAAAATACAAAAAATTTATTACAACTTTACTTTTGTATAAATGGATAATTTTATTAAAATATAATAAATAGATAATTTTGATATAGAATAAATTTACTTACAAAAATTCCTTTTCTCTGAATCTTGTGCACGTGCAGTTGCAACGAGCAAAATTACCCAAACGAGATTCCTCATTGCTGATCTAGAGACAATATCCACCGAGAGTTTAATACGAACTGGAGCGATTGAATCGTAGGAGCGATTGAGCGTTTTTCAACATGGACAGCAAAGAGGAACTAGGTGTGCCTCTTTTCACAAACCGAACGATAAGAAGCCTCCGATAACGAACGCACACGCCCTATATAGTATACATACATATATCGATATGTTACTATCGTTATTTCTGCAACCATACTGTCCTATCCTTTGAGAATCAGATCATTGGTGCAAATCATCGATTGTGGAAACAATGCGACATTTATCACAAGTCTACTTCCAATGGCTTGTAGGAATATTAAATAAAGCCGATGAAATTTTGTATATAATTGTAAAATCTACATGTAATTTTATAATAAGTACATAAATGTATTAATATGTTATGATATATGTGTATTTAAATATAGAATTGTAACTAAACATAAATAAATTAAATAAATTTTAAATTTGAATTCTTACGTTATATTAATCGGAAATTCGAGAGATAGCTACATAGATGCACATATACGCTATTAAAATGATTGCTCTTATTTCTACGATCCATTTTTAGGACCTAATCATGGTTTACATTTTCGGAAGTTGTCTTTAATGTTTCTTTAATTACATCATGACGAACAATGTTAAGTCGTCAATGATGAGTATATTCCAAGATAAGCAATATATTACTCGTTTATCAGATGATAGCTTTCCACGAAGATATCAGCCAACTGATGACTAAATTTCAATGAATATCAATTCCCTTAAATTTTCAATACAAAAAAGACAAGTATATCTTGTTTTCTTATAGTTTTAGTTGTTCCGAGAAATATAATCTGTAGCCAATAATTGTTAGTAATACAAACGAATTTTTAACAGCCAATAGATATTGTAGAACTTTATTTGATCAATAAATAAAAGATGGTTATCAAAATTTGAGATATACACGACAACGATAACAAAATTTTGAAGTTATAGTATCAATTAAATTTCTAAGATGTACTTAGAATATTAAAAGTTACATTTAAAATAAATCCTATAAAGTATAGACTTATTTTATTCTAATTTTGAATCCTTCCAAGATAAAGAAAAAGAATAAAGATAAAGAAAATAACGTAAATATATTTTCACATATTAGAAACGTAAAGTAGTAATGTTTTGCAGCTTGTACTTTTTTGTCTTTGATAATAAACAGCATTCATGAGATATTCCATTGTGTCCAGACGAACAAAATATACAATTTTTCATGCTGCTATAAAAATTATGCACGTACGAGTACCAGAATAATTTGTCAGATAATTACGAGTATATATTGAGCCGAAGGCTATGTATTTTCGCTTAAGTCTGTGTCGAGAAGAGCAATCTTAATTTTTAGAAGTAGTGATTACTCTTTAGGGATGATCGCATTAATTACAACGATCCTCGGTACGTTTGCACATAATAAAGCGCATGCATAATAAAGGACCGTAATGGTCGCATATTATATTGAGGATATTTAATCTCGCATTAAAGAGTACATTGGTATTATGAACGTACGTGCGTGGTGATGTAATCGTGACGAGGTCATTAATAAACGCGAGTTTGCAGGATTTAGTAGGATACATATTATCGCAGAAGAGAATAGCCAAGTGTATTCATCATTGACATTTATTTGCGTGGACGGCACCGTAATGCCATTAACGAACGTTTGCGATGGTATCCCTCATTGTCCGGACTCGTCAGACGAAGTCGGAACACTTTGCCGTCATGTTGTGTAAGAAGATATTTTCCGTTAACTTCCGCCATTAGTCACTAAACCAGGAGTATCGCAAAAAAAACCGGATATTTTTCCAACCAAAGATAAAACAGTTAAAGTACTGATAAGACTATTTTTTTTTTACTTTACTGTACCTTCTCTATCATATATTCGAGAAAAGTCTTAAGCACATTTTACGTATTCGAATTTTTGTTACAACGTTGTGACATTTTGCTAAAATACTTTTAATATCTCAAAAAATGCATTTGTGATATGGATTTACATGTGCATATCCGCTTTCACATACGCGTGCATGAATCACGATTGTTCATGTTATCAGCTTCATGTTCTATTAATTATATCGAAAAAAATCTCAGATAACACATGCACGTTGCAGACGTGCACGTTTAGATATCTTTTTAGACATAAGACATCTAAAAAATGTCCTTCAGACGCATAAATGTTATTTGGAAATATAATTAACAGAATAAATTGTAATAATTTAAATAATAATATATATATATATACAATAATTTGAACAATCGTTATGAAATATTACATATTATTAAATCTTTTTGCAGGTGTCCCACTTATATGTACAAATGCAATTACGGTGCCTGCGTGAGTCGTATTGCACGATGCAATGGTCTGGTAGATTGTATAGACGCTAGTGATGAAATCGCTTGTGACCGAAGCGTCGATGATATTTGTTCCGACAGAGATTTCCAATGTTCTACTGTTTATCAAGAGTGCATACCTTTCGCCGAGGTGTGCAATGGTCTGTAATTATTAGATTAATTTTATTAAGTTGCTCTGATATAAATGACTCACAGCGTATTACACAGAAAGAAGAAATTTTTTGTTAAGGAATTGTAAGAATATTGTAAGATTATGTACGAATTTTTAATTTAGAACGATATTTATATTATTGTAAGATTGCATTGTTTTATTGTATGCTTATCTAAATTATAATTCTTTTATACGTTATTGGCTCTTTGCCCTTCTTTTATACTACCTTTTAATATAATATGATATTCTATTTTTTTACACTTAAAAAATTTTATCCTATATTCTTTCCGCTTTTTATCAAGGCTACAAAGATTGTTCAGATGGGAGCGATGAGAATGAGACATTCTGTCGCGAATATGCATGTCCTGAGCATACGTTCCGTTGTTCGTATGGAGGTTGCGTTCATCAGGAAGTGGTTTGCGACGGCGTGAAGGATTGCGTCGATGGCACCGACGAAGACTCGAGCATGTGCACGGCTGTCAATTGTGAAGATCACGAATGTTCGCAATGCCGGTTAATTGACTTATTTCTTGTTGATTAAAAAATTAAAATTCGAATAGTTTATTTTTCTATTTTTGTAGAGATCAAGAATTTACATGCGAGAATAGACGGCAGTGTCTACCGATGACTAAAGTGTGCGATGGTACTCGACACTGCGCAGATGCGTCTGATGAAAGTGCAAAACTGTGCGAAGCACGTGAGTACGTACACTAAAAATAACTCGCGACTTAGATTGAGTAATTTCTCTGTAATTTAATTTCATGATTAAAAGGTTTTATATTAATTCTAAGAGATTAATTATTTTACTAAAAATTGATTTTTTTCAGTCAATGTTCGTTATTTTATTCAAATTACGAGAATTCTTTGCAAAATATCCATTTCCAATATTTCCAGAATATGAAAACTATTTTTCGTGACTACATAATTAATAGAGATCATTAATAATCAGAAAGGTCCCGTCATGTCAAGTAAAAATGTATGTCAAGTAACTCTAACCAGAGTAGATTTTCAGTCACAAAAAAACAATAATCATTGATTTTTCATCTTAAAATTCAAAACACAACTTTAAAACTTATTGTAATAAAGCATAGACTTATGGAATTGTTTTTTACGATTGAAAATACTATAAGAAATACTTAATCTAAGTCACTTGACACAAGTTTTGTATGCTCTTTAGTAGTCGTTATTTTTTATCTACAGATGTCCTGAAAATTGGTTTCGTTGCGCTTACGGCGGATGCATTCGGTCGGAGTTGAAGTGTAATTCTCAACTTAATTGTCACGACTGGAGCGACGAGGATGAGTCGTTATGCGGGATAACGTTGCCCGAAGGTGCCTGTCGATTGCCCGCCGCAAAAGCGGGGACCCATTACAATGTAAGCGGATGCTCTAGATGTCGACCGGGAGAAGTCGTTCCCGAGCTCACTCGCCTTGACTATGTCTGCGACGTCGAAGGCTCCTTGCAAGGTGCCAGTGAAATTTACTGTCAAAATAACCGATGGTTTCCCAATGTTCCGAGTTGTACCTTCAGTAAGTAACGTTCGATCGGAATGCGAGATTTGTCTTTTTATCTATCAAATAAATTATTTTTTTACGATCGATCGCGCATATAACATATTCCAGAAAATGAGACGGAAGGAATAACGTGTCCAGCGCCGTTTGGGGCGCATCATGCGATTAGACAATGTGAGGCGATGTGGGGTCCTCACAAAGGGTGGTTGTCTTGTGACCAGGCCCTCCCAGTCGGCACGAGAGTTTTTCTTGATTGTCCAGCATTTTATGAGCGTCACAAAGGATCTTCCAGTGTCATGTGCCTTCACGATGGCACGTGGAGCCAATCACTTTTGAGTTGTACTCCTGTCTGTGGGATGAGAGACTCCACAGGTTCGACAGGTTGCTTACTTTCAATGAATTAAAATTAACACTAATTAAATATGTGTTGTCATTCATAAATATCTTTTTTATAGCAAGTGTTATATTTTTAGAAAAAACTAATAAACCATGATTGTTCAACGTTTTCGTTAAAATTGTTGTATTTAAAGCAAATGCATAAGTATTTTTAGAAGCAGTCTACAATAAAGTGAGCCATAAGAGCTGTAAAAAATTGATCAATCATAGTCGATTATTCTTTCAACGTTCGACTATGACTGGTTAGTTTCTTACGAATTCTTATGAATTACTATTTTTATTATAGTTAGCCCTTTTGGAATTCTTAATACGATGTCCTTTGTTTTTAATCATTGTAATGAATAATTTTCTTATTAAAAAAATATAATGTAAAATAATATAAATATAATATAATATAATATAAATATAATATAATATTACATACATATATAAAATAATCGCGTGGTAATCTAAACTTTTAAATTTATATAAGAAATGTTAATATTCTTAGCGGCAGCACTAATTGTAAAGGGTTGGAGCGTTGAAAAGGAAGAGACACTACCGTGGCAAGCCACTCTTTTCTCGCACGAGGATGGTCAGTGGAGTTTCTTTTGCGGCGGCACGTTGATAGCAGAACGCGTTGTGTTAACTGCAGGTCATTGCGTTTGGAAGACTGCTGCAGATACGATACGTGTCGCTTTCGGGATTCTCTCGAGTGACTTAAATCAAATAGGGGAAAACGCGCAAGTGATCGACGTGGAAAGCATCGAGTTGCAGAACGCGTATCAAGATCACGAAAGTAACTATGGCTCGGATATCGCGTTGCTGATTTTGAAAAAAGCTGTGATTATTAATACGGTTGTTGGACCAGTTTGCATTCCTCGGAATTCCGATGCGATATTACTAGAATATCAACGAAACAGTGGGTTTGGATTAGTTGCCGGTAAATCTAAATTTTACATTAAAAATCTGATATAATTAGAGAATAAAAAAACACACATAATTTTTTATTTAATATGTTTAATAAATTCTTTATGTACAAATTCTTTATTCACGTAACGTAAAAACGCTTTAAAAGAAAAGTAATTAATTTTAGTTTAAAGCTCGCTAATTAAAGATAAAAAGATCTATGTTGCTAACTGTGATTGGCAACAATTAATAAATGGATCTTTTTAACAGTTCCTGGAACTTGAGACCTATTTTTCAGGCATGGGGTTAACGGAGAACGACACATTTAGTTCAGTCTTGAGGGTAACTACAGTAAAAATCATTTCCGACGATGAGTGTCGTAAAAACCAAAATAGAGATTTCCGAAAATATTTGACTTACACTTCCTTTTGCGCCGGATGGGCGAATGGTACTGGAGTATGCAATGGAGATAGCGGTGGAGGTTTGGTGCTTCAGCGACCGAATTCCAGTGTCTGGGAAATTCACGGAGTCGTTTCTGTGAGCCCACGAAAACTGGGTACCAATGTATGTGATCCGAATTTCTATGCTGTTTTCACAAAGGTATAATAATATAAATATCCTTATAAAATGCTGAATATGTTAAGTTTACATCTACAATATATAATTTTGTCATCCGTAAGTTATCCTAAAGTAAAATCTGTAGTGTATTTTATTATATTTTTTATTATATTTTGTCACGCACAATAATTACATTAATTTTTATAATCATTTATTAAATTAATAAATTATGTTATATATAATATTAATAATTTACATAACTTATAATGTTATTAGATTATATATTATTTTGTTTCATGTTTATTATGATTATATAGGTTTCTATGTACGTCAATTGGATTCATAAAATTATTGAGAGCATACCTATAATCGGCTTACCTGATTTTGATCAACATCCAAATAGAGATAACATCGTAGTTTAAGCGATCATAAACTAAATTGATTCCAATTATTAATACATATTTAAATAAAATTAAGCTATAAATGTTTGTTATACATAATATATAACATTTTAAAGTACATATACTATAAGTATATGTATGCGTAGGCGTTAATTTAAAAAATTAAGTTACTTATATATCTAAATCATCGAGTACCAATATATCGTTTATTCATTAAATTACTACATCGAAAAATTAAATGCCGTTTTTATTAATATTATTCCTGGTGTAAAGAATTCAGAGGTATGCTAATGTTTAAATGTTTAAAATTCAAAATTAAATTTTCTCGATTTATTTATTTAAAATAACATAATATTATTTCTTTGGAAATGCAAAAGTTTGGCACAAAGTAATGATAAAATAATTTAAATTAATAATTTAAATAATTTAAATTAAATTTGACTAAATAAAACAATAATCTTTATGTTAGATTTAATATCCTATGATGCACACACACACACACACACACACACACACACACATACACACACACACACACACAAAATTATTTTTTGAATTTAAAAAGTAAAATGTTCGGGTAAATTATTATTAATTTATATTATAAAGAATTAAATATTTCATTTAGAATATAATCTTGCTGCGTATTTGTGGCTATGTACAACGCACTTTTGTTTACGTAAAATCGCCGATCTGCGCCGCGACGATGAGATTACTGTATGTGCTATCATTCACACTATGCTCGAGCAAGAAGGTAGTATCTATATCGTTTCGGGTTTTTATCTCTCAAAATACGATTGCTAATAATTCAGCAGTTCGCATGTGTAATTAATTTTTGAGATTAATGTAAACGTATCGTGGCGACAATTATGACATAGTGAAGCAAACATCCGTATTACTTATTTATTTGAAATGGAATGCGTACGCAATAGAATGTAAAAATTACGAATCACTGTTTTATTACTATCATTTTTTTAATTTGATGCTTAGAATTTAACAAATCTCGTATTACATTGTGAATTTGAATATAATTTATTTACTACTTTTTCCGGATTAAAAATTTTCCAGAAGTTTCAGAACCGTATACAAAATTCATCTTGAAAACGAGCATACCTGACTTCCTTCCACCATATATCTCTTTTTATTTCTTTTCCTCGGAAACAAAAGAATATTTTCTCTCGAACAGCAGAAATGAATAGCATGCCTATTGACAACATGTCAAATATAAAATAATATAAGATTTATAATTTTGCAAATATTAATTAAAGACGTGCATGTTTAAATGATTGATTCTAATCGGTGAATCAATTTTTTATAAGTATTACAATTCCGCGTTTTAAGTCAATATCATGAATCTTTCAACAACAACTGTAAGTATAATAAAATTAAAACGAACAACATGTTTTAAGCTAGATACACTAAAACATATAAAATAGAAAAATGCGGATATTTATAAACAAGATCAATTTTAATAAATTAGTTTTTTTAAGAAAAATAAAATATTTTTTAAAAATTGATAAACTGTAATGTATTCATACAATATTTCTACCTAATGCCATTTTCTGAAGATATTATTATGTTTTAATTTATATATTAATATTACATCACAAAAAGTCGATCATTTCGATGCAAAAGAGACAGAAAACACTGATAGCACCCGCTATAGATGAGTCAGCAACAGGTATAAGGTATGATGATGTATACATCTCACCGAGTCATATAAAATTCAACGAAGCCTTCGAAGGAGTTGCGTATCGACAGCGTATTATTATCAAGAATGTCGGGTATAAACCAGCGCTTATCAGAATCTGCCCGCTAAATTCTATAGTAAATATGTCTAATCTGTGTAAGTCATAATTAAACATTTTAAGAAGTAAGAGAAATTCTCAATGATTATCATTTTTCGAAAGGTTTTTCAAGTAAAAACTCTGAAAGGTGGAATACGAGTGAGTCCTGGATTAAGTATAACAACATATGTGACTTACGAATTCAAAAGACCGTCTATATTGCGTGCAATAATTCCGATTGAGATCAATGGAAAGATTTTCAATTATCACGTAATATCTACCTTAGCCACCGAATATATCAACATCGAACCGAAATCAATTGACTTTGGCACTGTCGATATTGGCCATTCATCCCATTTAAAAATAATAACAATCTGTAACGAAGGAAACAAAAGTACCAGGTATTTGTGGTATTTATAGAAATTTTTTGGACATTAGAAATAAAATTGCATTAAAAAAGGTAATACATTTTTTATTTTTATTAGAAAAATATTTTCATGTTTTTTTCGGTTTTTAATTAATTCTTTATCGTATAAAAGACAATAATTTTAGATTATAAAAATAATTTTTGTATTGTCTACATGAAATATGGATTAACTCTAATCAGATTTTTCGTATAATTTATATTTTAAATGAGAAATAAGTTTAAATATAAAATAAAGTTTGAGATAAATTGGTAAAAATTTAAAATTTTCCAGATTTTCGATCGATCTCGGACAAAATGATTTAGGCTTAATGATAAAACCTCTTCGTGGAAGAATCAAACCACAAAAAGAAATAATACTTCAAATTAAATTAACGGGCATAAACGAAGGCATCTTTTATAGCGAATTTTGGTAAAATATCTTTGCTGTTTGTCATCGTAATTTTTATCATTGTAAGAAAAATTCGTATAAATTTTCTTAGGATTAAGTCTACTCCAAATATACGCGTTCCCATCAAAGTGCATGTAATTGTGCCAAAATTAGTAATTTATCATTCGAATACGACTGGAGATTTTACCCTCATCGATTTTCCACCTACGGTAGAAAATACCTGTAGGTACGATACTTTTGTCCTGCGTAATCTTTCGTCTCGAGCATCCAATTATGTTGTCCTTGGTGAAATTGATAACGAAGTAAAATGCATTCCAGTACGAAACGATTGTTACAAAAATTTAGAAATTTTAGCCAGTAGCGGATTATCAAAAGCAATGTTTAGAAGCTTAAAATGTAAAATAATATTGGCACTTTACTTAAAATATTTATGTCTAAAATTTATAGAAGATTATTTAAGTAGAAATGATAATAAATTTAATTAATTTGAGCAATTATAATTATTTATTTAAATGTCATAAAAGTTCCTATTTAGAATGATTAAACATTTTGTTACAATATTAAATAAAAGAAAAATTGAACGCAGGTAATTAAGGCTAGCGTAATTAAATTGAAATCTTTGAAATATACGTAAATCTTATGTGATTAATGAATTTATACTCCGCCACTGACTTTGCTCTTAATCAATCTGACTCGGAAATAATGAGTAAGTTTTACTAAAATTATTTTTATAGGATATCGATCGCAAGCAACATCCGACTTATAGTCTCTTTGAAATTCATCCGTTTGAAGGGAGAATAGATCCATTTCAAGGTGTTATCTTTGAAGTAAAGTAAGTCTAATTATTCATTGTTGTATATTGTATAAAGCTATAAAAGGAATAAATATTTCACACACACACACATACATTAAAAATAATATCTATTAATATATAATTCTAGATTTTCACCAATAAATATATTATCGCAACAAAGAAAAGAGCAAGAGCAAAAGCAATGGAGAATATGTAAAAATAAATATTCAAATCAGGAGAATATAGATTTCATGCAATTTATTCGAATAGTCAGGGTACATTGTATCGAATCGGAAAATATCATCAGTGTGTCTCTTTTAGTTTATTTTGCATCGAAGTCAACTGAACAAATCTTTATTTAAATAATGTTTCTACAGGCATTGATCCTATAAAAGATATTTCAAAGGATAATCCATCATCACAAAAAATTTACATACGTGAGTAATTTTTTTTAAACAATTTAACATCTTATAAAGTTTATTAACATAGCTTCATGCTTATTTTATACATATAAATAACATCTTTAGATCATTTTTTTTGAATTTTTTGGATAATTTCTTGAATAATTATAATAGTAATAAAAATAGTAATTAATTATTTTGTTATACATTTTAACAGAAGAATCAATGACGGAAATTTCAATGTTGCCTTACTCATTAAGAACTGATGAAGGAATCTATGACGTAGTAAAGCTTTGTTTTTATGGTGAAATGGAAGCGATACAAGTACATTTCGAACCTGATACTCTTTATTTTGGAGACCTAATTGTCGGCCAGATATCGCAGCGTGTGCTTCGTCTGACAAATCTTTCTGCCATTGCACCGATATATCTAGAATGTGCGCCAAATGCAGCTGTACACTGCTATCCGAAGTGGATGAAACTCATGCCTAAAACGTCGATCGAAGTTCTTGTTAAAATTTGCGGCAAAGAAAGCAGTAATTATTACTGCTCTTCTATTTTGCTAACATGTTGACTCATTTGAATGCTCACTCCTCGAATTTTGCATCTCGATAAGTTGATTGAGCAAGGCTCTATCTTATGAATTTATTTTTACAGTTGAATCTTCCTTCAAATTGTTCTTTAATGTCGCAGCAGATTCTTATGATTCGACTGTATTAAGACGATGTTTCGATAGAATAAAAGTTGGAAGTTACTGTATCGTATGCACGGTGAATATTATTTTCAAGTCCAAAAAGGGACTTTTAAGTAAGCCTATGTTAAGTAGTTCAATAAATTAAAATTTGAATTCTTCAATATTTTAAAAATTGAATCGCTTTTTTAATAAAGGTAGAAAAAGTTTGCCAATAAAAAAAATTGACGAGGACGAGGAAATTATGAAACGCCTTTTAAGTTTACCCAAATGGAAGCTATTATATAAAGATTATTCGCAAATGTGTAAATTTACAGAAAACATAAAATCTTCGTTCAAGAAATCGATTTTCGCAACCAAGGCAGCTATACTGATACCTTTATCGCCTTTACAAATATATAAAATCCACATTTATCCAACCACTATAGTCTTTGGACTGGTAAGTAATCCAAAATATAATACAGAGACTCATAAAATTGATTAGATGTTTTAAAAATCATTAAAAAATTGCTTGTAAACTTATTATTTTAGAAAGAGGTTTTATTTTTTTACCAGAAATAATGTATAAGTTATAAACACTTATTTTTAATGTCTGCTTTTTTTTTCATTTCTCTCTTTTTCTCTTTTTCATTTGTTTCTTTTTATTATATCAAAAATTTTCGTAGACTTGCATATAAAATTTTAAAAAATGTAATCGATTTCGTGAATTATGAACGAATAAGAGCAATGATTCTGATAGAAGCTCGTTAAATTATTTTAATCATGGACATTGAGTGATTGGGATAGGTAGCATCGAATAGTTTCAACTATCATCGTTTGGTTGTAACGAATACGAACGACATTCCAGTGATGATACAATTAATAGCTACGTCAATCAAGGGCATCTCCTTTCCGGAAGGTGATTTAATGATCTTACAACCAGGCTCGACGGTGACCAAATTAATCGAGTATTTTGCGGACGAAGTTTACGGCAAGTTTAATGGATATATCAATTATATAATTAATCATAATCACTCTTTCGAGCTCAATATTACTGCTTGCATTGTTCGCAAACAATTGTATATCGATGAAAGAGAGATTAAACTTGAGAAAGAATGGTCGAGAGAAGAACTTTATCAACCAATAGCTTCTATTATTCGAATTACAAATAAATTGAACGCGGAAATACGCTTCAGGTAAAATGTATTTCTTTCTGCGTGTAAATAATTTAAACAATGTTTAACAAAAGGATTGTTTCAAAATAATTAAAAGAATTATTACATAAAAAGTTATTGACAAGAGCACACATTTGAAAAAGTAAAATAGCAGTTTATTAAAATGTAGTAAATAAATGGCTATTGATTTCTTAGATAGATTGTTGGTTTAATATTAATGTATGAGTTCATATGATATTTCTCTGAATCAATGTCTCAATAATAACGAGAGATTTTTAAGGTGTTTAACTCTAAAGAATAATTGAATCGTTTTCAAGCGCTTGTAATCTTGATAATAAATCTTGTAGAATATTTCGAATAGTTTATGCACTGCAAAATGATAAATTGTCACAGGTGGGAAATATCAGCGATGTCTGGATTCTATATAGAACCGAAATCGGGTTCCGTGCGGGATAACGCTACTTCACTCGCTTACGTGCACTACGAATTCAATAACATGAAGGATAATTATTACACTCAAGCGATAATGATATGCGAGAGCGGAATTCGCGTGTCTCTGCGGCTTAGCGCACCGCGATTTGTGCCGAAAGTTCAATTCGTGAATGACAATGCGAATCTCGGGGAAATACCCCTCCATTTGCCAACGAAGGTGATCGCCGTTCTCCAAAACTTTGAATTTAACGAGGTGACGTATGAAGTGGATAGCGGTTCATTGATACACGGTTGCAACGTTAATCCACTGCGAGGGAAAATATCTCCGCGCGGTATTGCAATTCTTGAGGTAAGTTCTCCGTCAATCGTAATAATATTTCGTAATACGCAAACAATATTCATTACCGCTTGTTAGGTATACCTTACGTTCAACGTTTGCTGTCACTTTACTATCGAAATTGCCATTACGATTCAAGGGTGCCTACAGTTACTGTATAGAATAAATGGCAATGTATCATTTCCGCGATTGAGGCTCGTGCCGCAACGAATAGACATAAAACGCCTTAGAATCGGTGCCATTCAAACTCATCAGATAACAGCCACGAACGTTGGGACAACGTTATTGAAACTCCAGGTTTTGTTGGAAGAGTATCCCGAGTTTCACGTTTCTCTGTCGGCAAATGACGAGAGTTCGACAATAGGTAATGGCAATATAAAAATAATGAAATAAAAAAGTATCTCCTATAAACGATTAGAAAGAATGAGAGATGGTAAAAAATAGGAAATAGTTAAGCGGATTCGAAGTATCCTAAAATGAAGCAAAAAAATATTTTCAATGAAGGAACAGCAATTACATCCAATTAGAATTTTTTTATAATTAGCTCCAATCTATTTTACAATAGGTATAATAAGATTTTAAGCTTTTTGCTCAAAACTCTGAGCTGTGACGTTAATTGGCTTTATCTTTTAAATTTTACAATTAAAATCTGGTCAGCCTGTTTAAAGCTTAAGGATTACGGTAACATCAGAAACTTTTTACTGAAAACGTCACAATTTAAAAGTTTAAAGCAAAAAGCTGAAGAATTCCTTAGACTGTAATTATCGATCGCAGCTTAAGAAACACAGATTTATAACTTTAATAACTAATAACTTGAATAACTCGAAAATTTATGAATTTTATTTAATAAATCGGGTAATTTAACTTCGATTTATATATTTAATAAACAAAAAGGTACGGAAGGGATAACCATCGCCCCAGGTATAAGTCAAAACCTCTATTTGCACTTTCAACCAATCGATTTAGCCAGTTGCGCTTTCTATTTGCCGATTGTGATAAATGAGCTGCTTGGTCCAGTATCGATGTTGAATCCCAAGAGCATTCGACCAGCAGAAATTTTGAAATGGCATGAAGCTCATTACATGTATTTATCAGGTTTTTCCATGACGACATTACCTGATAAACTACCAACTGTATCTATCGATTATACCGTGGCTGGCCGCATTATTTTCTTCAGCAAACTTTTGTTTCGATTCAACGCTTTGACTAACAAAGTAAGATTTTACATCGATGAAATAAAAAAGAATACAAAAAATAGAAACACAAATAGTTGTAAAAAGATTCATGCAGAAATGTACTAAAAAGTGTAGAAAAAATTTCTATACAATGAGTTAAAATATTTTTATCTTTATACATAGATAGTAGAAATTTTATATTAAGCTATTTTATGTTATAGGATCAAAAATTTTTACATCTAATTAAAGCATTTTAAATTGATATTTTTACTCTTTAGCTATCTGAAGAGTTGTTTATAGAGAATCGAGTAACGGTGAAGGAAATATTAATGTCAATAAATATCGAGGAGTTTAACAAAGTTGATTGCCCGTTCACCATAAAATGGTCTCGCGGTGCGGAGATCAGAAGAACAACAGATGCGATCGAGTGCACTTTACATCCTGGCGATAACGTCTCTTTCATTCTCGAGTTCAAGCCGAGAAAACGTGGCAATTTTAGTGCAGAGGCACCGATATACATTCGCGGTGAGCTCGACGACGGCGTCTTCAATAAATTACGTCTCGACGGCGAGTTTCCCGCCAGTTCGATCGACGTTGAGCCAACGGAGATATATTTTACGCCTGTTTCTCTCGGCACGGCGGTAGAGAAAAAGTTTACAATCCGAGCAAAGCACTTTGATAACACGGCGTTTATACGGCCGAACTTTTTAACGCCGCGATGCAGCGGCGATTACAAAAATGAATTGTTGCGCGTTGACTTTCCAAACGGTAATGTCATCTCTCCTGAATCGTGAGTTGAAATATTTTCTGTTATTTATCATTAAAAATATTAATAAATAATTATAATTTAATAATATTTAGAAAATATTAGCATAGAATTACTTTTTTCACAAAAAGCAATATTCTATATGTAAGAATATTTAAAATGTTGTTTTGTTTTTTGTTGCAAGATACGTAGAACTGGAAGCAAAAGTAACGTTTAAGAGTAATCAACCAGTATCGTTTTGCTTAATTATTGAATTTTCGGACGATAATCAACTTGCTGTGTGTTTTTTAACGATATATGCAACAGCGGATAATAATTTGTTAACGACATACATGTATCCTATAAGCCCTAAGTCCAACTTTGATAAGACATATACCAGATATTTAAAACCTGTTTCATATCCATCAATAACATCAGATAGCCCAATAGATGATGACGATTGTGACGTTGAAGAAATTTTTAATATTCACAGCGTATGTTTTTATTTTTTCACTTTTCAATTTGCCATATAAAATATTTCAGAAGAGGAAATAATTATCGATATAATTTCACTAAATTCAGATTTTAATATGAATGAATAAAATTTAATTATGAATTCTGTTATAAATTAATAAAAATAAGTAAAACCTATTTTGCGTGGTATTGGAAATTTAATTTATCAGAATGATATATCAGTCTTATTCTAATTTTTATTTTTTAGAATTGAGGAATATTATAATTTTATAATTTATATTTTTAGCCTTTTTTTATAATATTTATTTAGAAAAAAACTTAAATATACACTGACATATATATTTAGATGCATATTTTATTGTACTTGCCACAAGTTTTGAGAGCAGTTTTGACATTTTGATGTAAATCAAAACTGTTTAATGATTAAAAATAATGCGATTTCTATAGATTTATTCATTCTAAATTGTTTATGCGTACACTAAAGGTCATCTGATAGAGATCGAAACGTTGCATTATGTTTGTTTTATTTTATAATGATTATGTATCTTATTTTATAACGATTATAATTACAAAGCATCAGGCTGTTTATAGTTATTACTTTGTTTTAATTATTTGAGCTTTCTGTCTCTGTCTCTCTCTCTCTCTCTCTCTGCTGTATTTTTGTTTAAAATCAATTACCGTATATTCCATTTATGTACATTTAATATATAGTTTAAATTTATTTAAATCTAGAACGAAATATTTGAATCGAAACTCGGTATTATGCATTTTGATAATCAAAGTAGAAGTATTATTGGTAAAAGAAGAGATTCGAAATTATATTGGGACAAACAAATAAATGATAGTGAAATAGACATATATAACAAGAATATGCATAGAAAACAAATGCTAAATGATAAACGAATACTGATTCACAAAAAATCTTCTGAGCTTCCTTTTCTTGCTTTCGAAGCGAGAAATCACAGATATTTCGAAAGATTGTCTTCTAGTTCCTCCAACGATCGAAATAAGTAAGTTTGAAAAAATAAGAAATCACCGTAATTAAAGAACTTAAAATAAATTGAATTGAAGTCAGAATTGAAAATAAATTTATATATAAGAATAATAGAGTTTAAAATAATTTTGAATTGTTCTTTTTTAAATTTAAACTTAACATAAAACAGATTTTTTAATTTTAAAATTAATTATTATTTACTTGAAAATTAATTATTTGATAGTTAATTTTAACACAAATGATTATTATGAAAAAATGTAAGTTTATACGATAAAATATAATAATTTTACTATTTAACTTAAAATGAGAGAATTTTTTGTATCCTTCCTGATTTTAAATATTTTTTGAATATTTAAAAACCAATTTAAATCTGAATTAAAAAAAATCAATTTAATAGTTAATTAAAATTATGTAGAAGTGAATAATTTATTGTACAAATATTATAAAATGTAACGCATCTGTTTTACAAACATTTTGCATGTGTTTATTTTTATTAGTGATTATGAGAAATATATGCAGAGAATAACAACAATTGTGGAAGAATGGATGTATTCGGGCCCATTGAAATTTAGCTTTTATCCAAACATTTCTTATGGCATTACGGCAGCTTTTTCGTATTTCCGTATAAAAAAACGATCTTACGTGAGAAATTCTAAACAGGAAAGTCATACAATTATGTTGTCGTTCATCGATGTCCTCGAATCAATCGTAGGACCAAACATTCATACTTACTTGGGAAAATTGTAATATTGTAATACTCATGCATTTATACATATGTGCTTCCTTTCAAATACATTGCTATTTTTTTTATTCAAGATCAAAGCAACTGTTACCTGAAAATGACATCGAAAGAATAAATTATGTTCTCCAGTTGTATGATAAAATACTGGACTTTCTTCTGTCTCAAGGAGCATATTTAGTTCACGTTTCGCCACAATTTCTACTAAATTATGACGATTATCTAATTAGCATTGACATCGTACAGAGCAATGTTAGTTATAAAGTTGTAAATTATGATAATTTCTTTCTTTTTTAGAATGATAAGAATTAAAGAAGCCATATATAAGAAAAAAGCTTTTAGCTAAACTATACAACTATACAACTCCATCAAATCGTCTCAAAAATCCATATGTTGATTAATTTTTTTTTATATTACAGGCACAAAGAAACAATTTAAATACAAGTTGCGTATCATATGAACGGTTATCGCGACAATTATTCGAATCGCGAAGTAAACAATACTGGTTGGATGTAACTTTGCAAACGTACAAGTGTTTCGTGCTTCGTAGAATACACGAGGATAAATACTGGATGTCGCCGTGTCCTTCGAAGAGATCCACAGAGTATCGGGAATCGACAGTATCGTCTACATCGAGGTTCGTTATTGTGTGATTTTACAATTGCATCTCTAATTGGATACATCTTTCTCAGCTTGCCGAAACAATGTAAACTTCATGAGAGAGCTATTGAGAATATTGCAAATTTGCCAAGCTGCGAACTCGCTTCCGATGACCATTGTTCAGAAGAAAAGTTTTTGCTAGCTTGGCTTCGATATCATTATGAACAACAACGCGTTCGAGATTGGATGACCGATCGTCGTATAATCATGAATCCACAAGAAAAGCAGGATGTGGCCGAATATCGAGCGATTCAAAATTTTCATCATGATTTATCTGATAGCCTTGTACTAATTGCAGTTACCGCAGCCTATTGCCCCTTTCTCATCGACGAATGCTTTAGCAATTTGTACATTTGCTCGAGAAACAAACAAGAGGTAATTATTAAGCGTTTGACTCTTAATCTTAAGCTAAAAAGAAATATATTAGATTATACATTGAAAATTAAAACGATATCAAAATTATGTGCGTTAAAATTCGAGTTTTAGGATAATGTAAATTAATAAGATTGTTGTTATACAAGCATAAACTATTAATATTTTATGAGTCATAGGACGAGATTTTTTATCTAACAGTATAATCTTCATGAATTTTATTCGACATTAAAATGTAGTCTTAAACCAAATCCATATAAATATCGAGGCAACTTTGTATTTCTTGTTAGTATAAGATAATACCGTTAATAAATACAAAATAATTTTGAACTAAATACAGTAAATAGTTATTATTGGAAGATAGATTTAACAATTAATTTTTGTAAACAGCGTTTATTTTTTTCTATAAATTTATGCAAATTATTATAATTTAAAAAAAAATTGGGAAAAAAAGATTAATTGACATTCTGAATGATTTAACAGTCTTTGAGCCTTTAATGTTATCTCTAATTTTTTATCATCGTATAATCCTATTGCAAACAATGCAAACTACATAATTTTCGCAATTTACCGTGTCTAGATGCTGCATAACGCTATTTGCCTAGTTACTGCTTGGAGGAAAATACGACTTGGCTTTATTATTACGCCGATGCAATTGGTTAATCCGAATCAAGTGCAAATATTAATGCTGGTCGTCCATCTTTTCCAAGTTTTACCGACATATGTACCTCGCGCCAAGGTTTGTACAAAAAAAATCATGATATCACGCTTTATAATGCTTATTTCCTCTCTCATTACATTATGATATTTCATAATATTTTTACTTTTTAAATAAAAACTTTAATCTAAAAACATATATAGTCTTATATATTACGCGTATAACATATTACTTCACTTTTACAGGTCAAATTTAACTGTTCACTATCCCAAATCGTCACGAAGCAAATAAGCGTTTCAAATCCGACAGATAACATTGTAAATTACTTATTGTTGCTCATAAACGATGACAATAATTTTTTTACTATCCTGAAGCCCGAGTCGAGCTTACGTTTAAACGCGTACGGTAGTGGCCAAATACAAATACAGTTTCATGCTAAGAAAATACAAAAAAACAGAGGTAAAACATTTTTTTAATTTAAATTATCTTTGCTTATATATATACATATATATATATATATAATATATATATATATATATATATATATATATATACCCAGATTATGTAGGATATTTTATTTAACTTGACAAAATGATTTAAAGCATCTCTGTTATTTTTGATATTTAAATCAAATAAATTTTGATCAAATAAAATTTGATTTAATGCAAATTGTTTAAAATGAGATCTTTCTTATGTGTCGGATTTTTTAATTCATCAATAGCATATTTGATGCTTTGTGGACGAGCTATTGGATCACATTTTGGAAGAAATCAGATTATCATCTTGGAAGGTTATATCGATAATCTTGGAATTGCGAGCAAATATACTATACGTAGCAAATTATATCAGATTGTCGAGACAAATCTGAAAATCCATGTACCCTATCAAAATGCAGCAGAATATGATATATGGATGACAGACGAACGGCCGAGCAACCCTTGTAAGAAAAAATATAATCTTCTTTGCCATTAAAGATTTTTACGGCTGACTATTGTAAAAAAAAACGTGGAGAATTTATCAAAGATTTTCTAGTATAAATATATCTGTCAAAAGCTACTTTTTTAAATCTAAGCTCATGAAACATTTAATGTGTTAAACTATTTGTTAGCTTTATTCTAAAAACGCTAATATGTTAGCAATAATATTCAGATTGTTCCTAAAAAAAATTCATTATTTTTAATTTTATAGTAAATTATATATATGCAGATATATAATTTACACGATTATACGACATAATCGTAACTCGAATGTTTTTAGCGACTCTAAAAATGACGCAATGGCAAGAATTGCGAGCCAGGAAAATACCAAGAAGACTTTTCTTGAATCAAGATTTAATAGTCGTCGCCGAGGGTGCATCAGAGGCACATTTATCAATCAGTGTGGCGTGTATCGTACCTAAGCAACGAACGTTTTGGTTGATTTTTCAAGCGAAAACGGGTGACTTTATTATTCAAGTAAGCACTTGACGAGGAATTGTTTTATGGTATATCAAAGTACGAGGTCTTCTATAAATGACGTAAAATGTGGAGAAAAACGTATTTAGACTCTGAGAAAATGACCTTGATTTGATATCTTGTAAAATTAAACATTTCTTGTTGATTGCAACAGATAAATTCGGTTTGGCAAAAGTCAATCAACGATCGCATCGTTGTCCAATGGACAGTTCAAGAAGAATGCATTTGCTCAAATCAGCGAAACGGCGTAAGAGAGACTTGTCCGTTTAATATCAGCGTACCTATACCATCCTGTAACGAGCAGTTTCGGAGATGTGTAATTGAAATGTTTAAAAAAACTCTCGAACCGCGAGAATACCTATTCTGGTCCAAATACTCGAGTATGTTAGATAACATTTAAAAACGCTTCTTTACCGAATCTTATTAATCTATTTGTAACTCTAATATATTTATTCTGCAGGACAAATTGTCATTTATGTTCTTGCTTTTTTTCTCAGTTTTTATTTATTGCTTTCAGATACTTATATCGAGCTACGATTAATAAAGTGGTTGATGAGAAGTGACATTGATTCTGCAGCTCTGGAATTTGTGCATGTTTTTAACACCACAGTGACATATAAAGTTACAATTTCGGATAAATCAAGTCCTCTTATTTTACCAGAACGTTTTACTATACAAGGTAAGTAAGATTCAGGACATAAATTTATTTTCTACTTACATAGAATAATTCATTTGAAAGAGCACTCTGGGCAAAAGAATTTATTTTTACTATTTCATTCAAAAATACAGCAATATTATGTTATTATTTAGCTATAAACTCTTTAGATAATTTAGAATTAATATTTATGTAACTAAAATGTTGTCCAACAATTTTTAAATATAAACGATTAAAAGAGAGAATTCAAGAATTTAATTTTAGAAATGCACGAATAGGATGTAATTTTGTTTTTCATTTAATTAAGAAGCATTTTTCTCATATTAATCATACATAAAATAAATTAATTCTTTTCTATTTTATCATTTCTTCATCTTTTTTCTGCATCCGAGTATAATTTTAAGATATATCTTTTTTTCATTCCCTATATACATTTAATATATAGGTATATATATTTCAATTTACACGTATGTAATGTATCGCATTTTATATATTTCTAATTGAAAGTTTTTTTTTATAATGTATGTATGTCTAGATGTGAGGCCATTTAATCAGCAAGTTCCAATGATCGTACATATTTTACCAACAACTCCTCCATTGTATGAAGCGACGCTCACTCTTACGTCTTTAGATGATAAAGAATTCCGAGTATACACTATCGACTGCTTACGATCCTAAAGTTATCATTACTTCGTAATTATACATTAAGTAAGTGTAAAGATAAATAATTCGAAATATTATTTCGAATTATAAATTTTGTTTTTACTTTCTATTTCGGTATTAAGAATATAGAAACGCTTTGGTGAGAAACGAATAAAAAAATGTGGAAAGGTATTAATCATAATAATCATAACGTATGATTTTTAATATGCATTTATTAACAATATGTTCGGTCGTATATCTGCACAAATTTAATTAAGAAATTACAATAACTTTCTTCATTTGATAAAATTTTTTCACTTTTTTTGAAGATCATTTTATTTTTGCTGGATTGCTTTTAATTAATCATGGCAGTAAATGATTAATCGTATAATAGAGACATTATATATATAATATACAATAATGAAGATGTAACTAAACGCTTACATTTCATTAAAAAATTCGGTTTACAGTAGACAGTAGTAGTAGACTTTTATGTCAAGCCAAATATACGACATATTTTTTTGATATATGTAATTTAATTAATTTACCAGAGGTGTTCTTTTTGTCATCATTTGAGTTATAAATAAATAAAATCAGGTAAACACATATCAAATAGTCAAATTTCATATTTGATGAAATTAAAATAATTTTGAAAATAATGACAATAATTCTTGACTAATTTTTTTAATTGCGAAAAGGATATATAAAGAGATGAATAATATATGAATAATATATGAAAAATATCTGATTGATATCATGATTTAAAATAAATATAAGAAATCATGAAGGAAGAAATAAATAACATTTGAATTAACGTCAAAGAATTTGTAAAAAAAATTGAATTTATTTATTTAAAAATGTTCTAGCTAAAATTATCTAATTTTCATACAGGATGTCCAAAAATCAAAATATTACAAGAAAGTTTTCAAAAAATTAAGTAAAAAAAGTTATTTGTATTATATATACATATTAAATTTACATTATAAACAATATACAACATAATATAAAAAATTTAATACAAAAAAAAAGTTTAAATACAGTCAATTACAGACTACGTTTAAGAATTGGCGACAAGAAAATTCATTTACATTTCAATTAGGAATAAATATATATCCACATTTTACCATTTGTTTGTCAAAGAAATATTTGGCCACAAAACTTGTATTGAAGCTGTTAAGCTTATTAAAGATTTTTTGTAATTTGAACTTTGAAACATTATAATAAATAAAATTATCTGCACTACAATATTCAGCTACACTACAATACACATTGAATGAGATATTAAAAATGCCTATTTTTTATCTAAATGTCACTCTTTAGCAAGATGTAGGCAATTCTCTTGATTATGAATATCATAATTATATTGTAATTTTCTTAATAATTTAGCCGTAATTTAAGACAAGAGAAATTTGTCTTCGACACGTAATCTGTAATTAGCCACATTTTATACTTTTATTATCTCAAAAACTACTGTTTAAAATAAAACTTTACAAATAACTTTTTGACTTGATTTTTCGAGAGCTTTTTTGCTATAAGTTTTAGTCGCGAATTTCATATTTGCAAATTGCATATCCGTATTTGCAAATATGAAATTGGAATCTGTACACAAAACAAATCTATATATACCAGTCCTTCATTAACTACTACTATTAACGTTTCCGAAAATTTTGAAATATATACATATATATATATATATATAAAGACAAATTTTGTCTCTCGTCATATCATTATTTCTAAAAATAGGCAGATAGCATGATGAATCGAGTTCATTTATTTTCAACTAAAGAGAGAGCGACGCCAATAGAATTATCTAACTTTTTCTATGATTGTTTGCAGGCCTATTCTGTAACTCTTTACGCAAATTTCATTGTCATTATCACGCTGCTGCACAGCATGTATCTTTCATCGCTCTTTCATCATGATAAAAAAGCTACGCAGTAGTGTTATAATGATAACGAAATTTGCATTAAGAGTTACAGAATAGATCTGTTGGAGTAATGAATAGGCTTTCCTGCTTAACTGAAATAATTTTTGTTCATGTGATTAGTTGGCGATTCTCTTCTACATAGACTCTCTGTATTTAACAAGATCAGGTACCTGCTCAGTGCGATTGTAATTTGAATATTTTCAATTATCCGTATTTTACATAACGAGATATATTATATAATGAGAAAATCATTAAAATATATCATTTTTTTTCAGAAAATTCGATAAGATTTGGCAAGCTGAGGAAACAAATATCTGATGAGACTAAAAAATTTAAATAAAGCATTGGATAATTAAAAATTTCAAATGCTCCTAATATATTTATAATTTACATATTTCTAATTACTATTTGTTATAGTAAAAGTGCAGCACCGAAACACACTGTATATGAGCATTGATACAGGTGCGTTTCTTTCTCTAAAAAATTTACTTTAATAACAATCAATCTATTGTTTAAATTTAAAACGATTAGACAATACGTATGTCAAACTTTTCTTTTGAGCATATATGCTGTGGACTTTAAAAGATAATCATAGGACATATCTTCATTTATGTGAGGTCTTCTCTTAGAGGCACCATTTTCTACATTGTCTGTCAAGAAAATATAATCGCCATAAATAAAGAAGATAAAATTTCGATATAGGCATACATACATACATACATACATACATACATACATACATACATACATACATACATACATACATACATACATACATACATACATACATACATACATACATACATACATACATACATACATACATACATACATACATACATACATACATACATACATACATACATACATACATACATACATACATACATACATACATACATACATACATACATACATACATACATACATACATACATACATACATACATACATACATACATACATACATACATACATACATACATACATACATACATACATACATACATACATACATACATACATACATACATACATACATACATACATACATACATACATACATACATACATACATACATACATACATACATACGCACGCACGCACGCGCACGCGCACACGCGCACACACACACACGCACGCACGCACGCACGCACGCACACACACACACACACACACACACACACGATATATTAATTATCTTACCAAGATCGGCGTACTTGGATTTGCAAAACGCTCTGCGACCTCCAAAAGATAGAGTATATTCGGGTAAAGATGGATTGTCATTACCGTGTTCCACGGCTTCGTAAGCATCATTATTGTATAGAAAAGTGACAAAACCATAGTTTTCCCTAAAATAATATCTCAAATTATAGAGACTGTAGGAATTAGTATGAGAATAATATAATTAAAAAAAAATAATAATAAAGTGAATATAAGTAAAGATATATACCCATGTTCACGAAAATGTACACTGATATCTTCAACAGGTCCAAAAATCTCAAATCTCTTACGTAGATCAGATTTGGTAATTCCTTCATCTATACGTCCTACATATACCACTCTTCGTTCTTCTATCTCTCTTTGCTTTTTTCTGTTGTGCCAATCATCGTAAGTTCCGGAATAAGAATGTAATGGTGATCTACTAGAGACAAATTATAAAAATGATGAAGTTATATCAAGGATTTTATTATATATATCTATTGATCTTAACAATAATTGAAAAGTTTATTTTCGAAATATAAGTTCTTTATTTTTTTCCTGATTTTTTTTGAAAATATGTAAATATGTAAATTTTATAAACATTTTGTATTAAATATAATATAATTATATGTATAATTATTTAATTATATATATAATTAGTTATAATCTTAAGACACCGTGAAAATAAGATGATAATTAGCGATTAGAATTAGTAATTAGAATTAATTATTTAAAATTGGGTAGAATATAGTAAATTATATAGTAAGAAATTTGTTAGATGAATATTCGTTTCAATATTAATAGAAATTGCATCTTTATATCTCAAAAAATATGTTTTACCTATAACTTCTATTGACATGGCGATTGGCTAAGGAACGTTTCTCATATTTATCATAACTTCTTTCACGTCTGTCATATTTATCATAATTCCTTTCTTTCTTCGAAGATTCGAAGTCGAAGGAGACCTATTAACATAATTTTTATAAGAATTTTATTCAAATTAATCTTGTTTGCAAGCTAGTATATTATCAATTTTATTTATTATACATATAATTCTGATTGGAATTGGTTATACCTACCTTGATCGTTTAGAATAAAATCGTTCGGGAGATCTAGATCGAGAGCTAGAATAACGTGAATACGAATGTTTTGATCTCATTGAAATAGATGCGGGAGATGACCAAGTGCTTGTTGAAGTGACAGAACTGCGTCGCGTGCGATGACTTATTGTTCGTCGGCTGTTACGTCGATCTACGCGAGATCTACTCCTACTTCTACTTCTACTGCTACTCTTGTTTTTGCTGCTTTTGCTTGTACTTGTAGAAACACTTCTGCTTCTATTCCTATTTCTTGTCTTGCTCTTACTCCTACTTCTCCTTCTGCTTCGATCTTGACTTTTGCTTCTACTTCTTCTGTCTTTACTCTTACTTCTACTTCTGCTGCTGCTACTGCTTTCACTTGTCGTACATCTTCTGCTTTTTGATCTAGATTGACTCAAACTATCAGAGACTTTTTCGCAGGATTTCTCCTTTTTATTTTTTGTACTTTCCTCCCTATTATGATATTGTACAAATTATTATAATATAATTAGAATGCAAAAGTTCTCGTAAGATTTCACGATGACTTCTTTCAAGAAAGAGGACCAAATATTTTAAGAACTAAATATTTAAAACTGACCAAGATTTTTTCGAAAGATCTTTTTTAAAACGTATGTGTAATTATTCGTAATATCATCACATTGAACAAATCATAAAAAAATGTTTTTTTACTAAATTATTTACTAATTATTATTGGAACAAGTGGTTTTGATATATGAAACATTCGAATAAGAAGGTTTTCATCATGAAATCCGATAAATTTTAAGATTAATAATAATAATTTAATACTTTACCTTTTTTCGTTTCTCTCCATAATTTTCGCATCTCTCTCTTCCTCCTCAACATCTACTGATTTTAAATATTCAAAAATATTTTCATCCGTTTCTGTTTGTACATTGCGAGTAGGTGGTTTTGGCTTATTTTTTTCTTCTTGTATATCTGATTCCTTTTTCCAACATGGCATAATTTCTCTCTGACAGTAAAACGTATCCTTTATTTCTTGATCAGGCTTGAGTGGTAATTTCATAGTTGAAACATGATAAATATCCACTAGTATAGTTCGAGATGGTTCTTTCATTATCATGGGTTTGTCATTACGAGTCTTATCGTTCAGTATTCTTTTTCGATATTCTAATACACTAATTTTAACACGAGATGTCTTGTCTTCTTCATGTGGAGGCGTGTTTTGAGTATTTTGTCCAATTATATTTTGTATTTCATTATTCACAATGGTTGGCATATTTTTATTAGGATTATTTATTGAGAACTGTGATTGTGATGCATTTGGTGGATTCTTCAATACGGAAATATATTGCGTTTTAGGAGTCATTTGTATACTATTCGCTTTAGGTAATATATGTTTCTGTGATCGCAGGATGATTTTTCTAGCTAAAGGTGAACGAATAGAATGGAGAAAAGGTTCGATGGTTGGAGACTCTGAAATATTTATCTTTCTAACAGATGAAAGATGATTTAAGTTGTGAGAATGTTTTAGAGGAGTCTCTTTTTGACAATCTTTATGATCATTTTCGAGCCTATTATCTTTGATTTCGTTTTGTAAGACTGCTGGTTTTCCATTACCGTCACATATATTGACCAACTCCAGATGGCATTGTTCATTTGAACTATCAGTCTTGTGATGTCTTTCGTGTTGATTAGAATCATCCCAATTCTCATTTTGACTCGATTTTACAGATGTATATTTTGTAGTTTCTAGTATACATAGATATATTTTAATGTCATTAATTAGGATCGTTTTCTATTTTTATTACTTAAGGAAGAGTGGCCTTCGGGCATTTTAGGAAGATCTTAAATAAAATGCATGTTAAAAAAATAGCGTTGAAAAAAAGAAACTGTAAAAATACTAAGTGCAAAAAATGCAAGCAAACAGACCTAGGTTTGGGCATGTCTTAATCAACTAGTGCCCAAGACTCCCAACCACTATATTATTAAATAAATGAAATCGTTCAAGTTTTTTAGCTTAAAGAAGCACGCCCGAAAATTAGTTCACATTATACATAAAACACCCACTTTTTATTGGCAATATATTAGGTGTTGGAATTAATTCGTAGCGTTTTTAATGAAAGAATGTTATTTATTTCACATGAGCATTAAAAAATACATTAATGAAAGTACTTCCCATCACTTGTAAAACGCTACGAATTAATTCCAACACCTAATAATTTTATGTAAATGCAAAGTAATAATAATGGCCATATAATAATAATAATGAAATTCACAGTATTTCCCCATAAGAGACTTGAGAAATAAGCAGAAGTTTTGTAGAAGTTTGATGATGCCTTGGAAGGAAGCCAAAACATCAATTTATTTTATCAATTTATAAGAAGTAACGTCAAGAATAAAGATTTTTGCGTTCTAACCGCGCTTGACTATTATATGTCCGTTCCAGTTTGCAATTAATTTTAAGTTTAAGTTTAAAGAGACCAAAATTATTTAATTTTGAATAATAATGGAATTAGACAAAAACACACAAAATATTTACTGTTCGATATTCAAATCCTAAAATAGCACAGGTACACAAACGTAATCACACACGTACACAGGTACACAAACGTACACACGCGTTGCACTGTTGCTATTACTCATGTGTTGCCATTGTGACGGCTACAAACAGCGGTATTCTTCTAAACTTTACATCGGGGTTGGCATTATTTTACCCACCCCAAAAAACACAGAATTCTTTTTTTTGTTTTATTGGGATTTTGTATAAAAAAATTAAATTTTTAAATATAATTTAACAGTAACACACAAAAGGAACGTATTTATAAATATTTAATGAATATAGGTATACTAAACTAACTGGATTGCTATAATTTTAACATATTATATTATATCAATTTTATTATATATATATAGAATGTACAAAAAATTCAAGATCCCTAAATATCTTGAAAAGTAAACATTTTTGAGAAAAATGTTTCAAATAAAAGTTATAAAAAGGGTTTAAAAAGATCTACTAATCACATCCGTTTAATTTAGACGACGCCACTCAAGGTGGAAGATTTAAAAGATAATATCCAATCTTCCCGATTGCCCAAGGGTCCCCACTCTCTCCTATCCATTTTATTACTTATCGTACTTACTGTTGCTATTGTAGCTCGTGGAACAAAAAAGTTGAAAGTTGTCATTATTACAATAATCGTGATCCAATTGTACCAAAGTTCTACTGATTGTTCTTTTAGCATCATTCGATACCTAAAAAGTGTTATAATTAATGGTGGATTATTTTACATCAAACATTTTGCAGTAATAGTTGTATGTGAGAAATAGATGCACGCACATACATATTCAAATCATAATACTTAAAGGAAAGGACTTACTGTAGAATCTATCTTCAAAATCTTGTTACAGGAAACTCTGTCTTGCATTTGTGTACTCTTACGTTTATTACTTTGTATATTTAGCGTAGCAATTTTTGGACTAGTTTTTCTACGTTTTGACAGCTAAAGTTCAACAAAATAATTATAATTAGATTATGTACTAACCTATTAAATATTAAAATATTTATTAAAATAATAGATAACCTTTGTTTTATTGATTATTTGTTTAGATGAGATTGAGGACTGTTGATTGGAAGCTTGAGAAACGGATTTTTCCGATATGTTAGCTCTGCACTCTTGAATCACTTGACATGTTTTATTTGGTCTCGTGTCATATGTATGATCATTTTTAACGGTCAATTTATTGCATGGATTTGAATTCTCGCAAGCCTCAAATTTTTCGAACAAACTCTTTACATCGTGTGCTTCTAATACTAACAAAAAATAAATCTCAGTAAAATGCCACAATACTAATGTTTATTTAATAATTCGATATGAATCTAAATTGATTTAATTACTTGGTATTTCATCTCGTTTCATTATCGTTTCAACATCTACACAATCTTCTTGCTCCTCTGCTTTAACTTTTTTAATTATTGTATCTTTAATTGATGTTATATCTTCTTTCGTTTTCTTTTTCCTTCTTGTATTTTGATTTTTTGTTTTGATATTTGCTTTATTTTTATTTTTTACGCAAGATAACATAGGCAGAGTATTACTTGTTGGAGGCTTAAATATTTCGTCCTTTTCTTGTTCAGTAAAATTTTCTTGTTCAGTCTCTATTTCCATTTTTACTGCATTATCAAATATTTCAGATCCTTTTAAAATATTAAAAAAAATATTTTATTTTTATATCAAAATTGACAAAAAAATTTAACAATTATTGATTACAAACCAGTTTCTTGTTCTTCTTCCCTTAATTGTAATTCACTAAGTGATTTCTTATTTATTTCAATCATATCGTCATACAGATATACGTTCTTGCTAGGCGTCGATAAGTAATCCTCTTGAGATAATGACTGCAGATTGGAGAAAAGCATTTTATAATTATATTGTATAATTTTTAAACAATAGAATTCATATACAATATTCATTAATATAAAGAAAAATTTCTAACCTGTAGCGAGGTTGCAAGTAGATCTTCAACAAGCATAGTTGTTGTTTCGTTAGTTTCGTTACTAAAAAAAAAAAAAATTAAATGTATTTACATGTTATACATTTCTTACAATTATAATATATATAACATTCTTGATAAAAATGATACACTTACTTTTCTGGATTATTACAATTATAATTGTACACTACGTTTAAATCCTCTGGTGAAATATTGTCCATTATTTCCATCAGCCGTGAGTTCTGAAATTTTTTATGCAAATATTTATTAATAAAGAAATAATCATATTTTTTTTCTCATTTAGTTGTATTTCGATTGGCATTTTTGTAAATACGTTTTTATGTTTAATTATAGTTTTAAGAAGAAGTAAATGTTTTTACATTTTTGATAAAATAATTATAATTTTTATCATAAAATGTTTTAAAATTAAATGAAATCATAATTTATTCATTTCTAAAGAGATTTAAAAAACTAAACATTGGTAATTTAAAAAAAAAACGAAATCTAAAAATAAAAAATATGATTACCGGAAAATATGTTGCAAAGATTTTGTTATTATTTGACATTACAATCTCACATTTTTTACAATGATTTATTTTCTTTTCTTTATATATATGTATATATGTATATTTATATTTAATAGTTAATAACTTTTTAACAAAAATGTGCAAACAAAAATCAATTTGTTTCAAAATATGCAAATAATAATATATCGATTGAGACTAAATAAATCTAATTTGTTTGTGGTTGGCAGACTAATGTGAAATTACTCATTCCAAAATTGTTTTTTTCAATAACTTTTTTTGAACATCAGAAGTGTGCAACAGAAATTCGAAATCATGGTGTCCAACAAAATCTGGTTATTCAATTCAAGAATAATTTCAAGTAAAAATCCTATAGTTTTTCCAGGATTTATATTCATCGATTAATTTTCATCAATTCACACAATATTATATGATTTGTATTCAAGTTAGGATTCTATATGAATAAATTAAAACTTTAACAAATTTGGAATAATATAATTTATATTGCTTTATAAATAATATCAAATAAATATTCAACACAAACGATAATTTCTCTGCTATATTCTATTTTATAATTGTAGATAATAAATCCAAATTTTTTTGTTAAATTAGTTTGTGTTGAATGTTTGTTTGATATTATTTATGAGATAGTGAATAATAATATTGGTCCAAATTTTTTTTATTTTAACATTTATTATATAGAATCCTAACTTGGATTCAAAACATAATGATATAATGGTGCGAATCACAATAAAAATTAATTAAGTAACAAAAATTAATCGACATAAAAAGGAAGAGTTTTCCAGCATTTTTTTAGGATACGTTAAATTCCAGGATAATTTTAGGATTTAAGGATATGTAAGGCTGGACATCCTGAAAAAATTATGATTTTTTTTTAAGCATTTAAAATTATGTTGCGTACATAGTAAACAATTCCATGAATTAAAATATGTTGAGACACAAAATAATTCCGTATTTCTATTATGTCTTAGCATAGTTTTAATTTAGAGAATCAACCTATGTCACGTGATCTTAATTCACTAATAAGAATCGAAATTATCTTTAGACAGTTTTTAAGAGTTTTACATTAGACGAAATTTATTTTATGCTATTAAAACAGTTTGCCTTAAACACGCAATCAATATATTTTATAATCGATTTAATATATTTTTATTCAAATTATAATTAGTCTAGAAATTCTCATTTTAAATTTCTCAAAAATAACGAAATGCGTTACTAAGGTTCAAAGAGACAAAAAAACACAAAGGTCTTATACCTGCATGTCAATTCTGAATTCTAACCACTTAATTTACACCAACATTACTTTGACTTTAAACGAAGCTTAAGAATCTTTCCTTCCTTTTTAAAGCTAAAAGAGAAAGAAACAGAAATGTGTAAAATGAATATGTTTTCTTGTCTCTTTGACCTTACGATGGCTTTTCCAGAGTTTTGAATATAATCGGCATTGTAACAGCGACAATAAAAATTGAGCATTTCTATTTCTGTAAAAGAAAGAATGCAAGCGCTTCTTTCTTAAACATATGTCAGTCAATATAATTGCAGCAAAACGCGCGCATTTCTAAAAACATAATTTATATAAGAAATATTACATAGATAAGTCTATATCTTGCAATCTACTTATCTTTTACTCACATTTTTTGAAATAAATTTTACGTTATTGTCTATTTAAATGTGTACGTACTTTTTTTTATCAAGACTTACGAACACAATATTAAAATTAGAATACAAGATCGCTTATGAATCAATTAACAATAAAAGAGAAATGTAAAGTAAGATGTTAGAATAAAATATGTATGTATATTTAAATAATTTTTATCTCAGATATTTGATTGCGCGTCAATTACTTTGCTTTTACAGCACAATCAAATTGAAATAATAATATTCCTTCCATTATAATAATATTCCTTTTATTAAATTATCTTTAATTCAATGCTATTAGCATCTTAAATCTTACTTAAATACAATTTTAATATTTGTTAGAAGAAGTTTACAAATATTAATATATTTTTTATCTTTCAGATGTATATAATCTCTTAAAAAAATATTTCAATAAATTATTGTCGAAAGAATAGCAAAAATAGTGCCCGCATAATGGAAATCATTTTTAAAAGTTTGAATACTGCTTAGCACATAAATTAAGATGAAGTAATTCTACAAAAGAAATCTAACAAAGAATCTACAAAAGAAACTACGTGAATAAAGAAATAATGGGAACCTAAAAATTTTATCTATTTACGAATTTCTTTTCATTTGCTTTTGTGAGCTTTACAATTTTTCATGGTATTTATTGTTAGATAAAATAGGATATTAGATAAAATACTTTTATTCAGGTATAGTTGCTTTCCAAATATTTTTCCTTTTATGTTCTAGATTTTAACAACTTTCACCGAGAACCTTTATTACTATTAAAATCTTTAAAAGTATGTTTTTAATTATATCTAAATACTATTTCGATAAGAAGAAATCTGAATAATCTTATATGAATTCATCCCGACAATGATTATTTAGCACACAAGCTTAAAGAAAAATAACATTTTCTTCTATAAATTTAAAATATACTATAAATAATTCTATAAATAATTTTAAATAAGCAATCAAAGAAATTACGGGCAATGTAATTAAAATAATTTTTATTTTATCAATAGAATATTGCATCTTTTTATCTTGATAAATATTGATTTATAAAAAAGTGTTTTTAAAAATTATTCAAACTCTTAAACAAAGCGAGTGCAAAAATTTAAAAATAATGAAAAAATTATATTTTTATTATAATTATTCAAAAGAGATTCTTTTCTCATTTCAAATTAGACAATTTCAAAACATGTTAGAGTGTTAAAAAAAAATCTAATTAACTAATCCTCGTGTTGAATAAAGCAGGCAATGCAACGCAACTTTTGCAAATTTCGAACAAAAGTTTCTTAATTGTCATTATTAAGTTTATTTTTGATCTTATCTCAATGTTTAGGAAAGTTTATACCAGAAGTTAAAAAGAAGAACATATACCTAACTGTAAGTATTAATGCTAAAAATGCTAAAATAATCGTCAATAAATGATACTTTATTTAGTCTGCTTCTTTCAATGTAAAATGAACTTTAATTTCAACTTACTTTTTATTTTTTTTTAATTCTAAGAAAAAAATAAACAATAAGTTAAATCAAGATTAAAGTTAATCTACATTGGTAGAAATGGATATTAACCAACAAAAAATATTTTTTATCAAGATTATATGATTGAATGAATCTTAAGAAATAAATAAATTATTTATTGTTTTTCAGGGGGGAGGGGGGAGGCTTAAAAAGACTTCCGTATACAAATCAGAAAATATCAATTGTCATACGTATAATTAATTTTATTCGACGTGCAATTATACAAAATTATATGCAAAAACATCATGCTAAAATAAATGAATGTCTATTTAAATTTTAAATCAAAGTGTAGTAATAAATGAATATAGAAACAGAATTTCATATTTTTCAAAAAAATAATTTTAAAAATGATTAAAAAAATTATTTAAAAATAGTTTAAAAAAATGTAATAATTATTTTTAAAAATATAGTAATTATTTTCAAGACTAATCTTATTACAAATAACATTATAACAGTTTTTTTTGCAAGATGTAACAATTATTTAAAAAAATATAGTAATTATAAAAAATGTAAGTTATTTTCAAACATATAGTAATAAAAAAAATTAACAAGTATTTTCAGAAATACAATAATTCTTTTCAAGAAAGAATTGTTACGAATAACGTTACAGCTTTTTTTTTTGCAAGATTGTTCCGCCAGATGGTATTTAGAACAAGAAACTAGCTCTACTTCTTGATAATAAGATTATAAAATTACCATGATAATGAAATCATTTTTTTTCTTAACGTTATCATCGGACATTCAATAACGGATAATCGGGAAATAATTCCTTGAACAACGGATCGTATTCATTTGCAATAAGATTTCCAGTCTCCGTATCCATCGTATGATTCCACCATAGTTTTTCACCTTCCATCGTTCAAATCGTTGTTTGGCACTTGTCACTTCGTTACCTGCGGTACAAACGATACACTGACGAAAAATACTGACTGAGCAGACGGCTGACGCGATGCAACTTCGATCGCACTGGCACGCTAAGCCACGCGGCTTTATTCTAGGTTATGTTATACCGAGGGGTAAGGGAGTGTGACGGGAACGCACGTGTGCGGCTTAAGGACTTGACATTCGACTTGGGACGTGCTTTATGTAGCTTTATACGAACGATAGATGATCATGTGCACGTACATGGGGCTGTCCGAGGATGACGCGGATTTCGCAACGTAAATCACGTCCACGTTGCGGTCAGTTCGCCGCGCCGACGAACCACTGTGCCGTGGAACGGATCGAACCAGCTGTGGCGGCAGAGATCACCGATCGTCCGCGATACCGTTATTCTATCGCGAAAAACAGAAAATAAATTCGCAATGACGACACACACTGTAACGAACTTGCACGACGCGACTATCGAGAAACTCAACGCGTCCGATAATATTCCGGATGGACGGAGGGAACGCGTGGCTGCTTCGAGGATACCTTCTTGAAGTCTACACATGGAAATTGGAAGGAGAGCGTCTCTCTTTACGTCTGCATGGCGGAGAGAAAGAGAGACACGTCGTATACGCACGCGTACACGCGCCCGTAGTGGGCGCGAACGTGTCTATGTATTC